AACGGGCCAACCTAATATGAATGGAATAATTACTCTTTCAATTATGCCAGCTTCTTTGTTGCCTTGAAATTATATAATCATTGGAGTTATACGTATGCAACCATATCATAACCCATCATGGTAACTTCTGTCGATAAAGCGGTCATCAAACTGGATTAGAACTTTTATTTTTACTTTTTTATTTGAATTTTGGTCAGCTCTCCATTTTCTAACTGGTCTTTTTTTAATCCTTTCCACTGAAAACCCCAAATTACTCCCATGCTGCCATTGACTAATCCTTTGCTGAACTTAATGTTTATTCTTAATTATGTATATTCAAATTTATGTGTGATACTAGGCCTCCTATGTTAGTTAGTTCCATTGGAATAGCAGCAGGTGGATGTTTTGTCCATAGTTGTTGGGTTTCCTGGACTTATCTCTTGCATTTATAGCGTACAATTTCGTTGTTAGTTTGGTTAAAATTATCTGATTGAATGCGTTGACAAATAGTAAGTTAGGATATACGCGAACAGCTTCCTCATCGACAAAGTTTCTTTAAAGGAACTCGAGTCCTCTCTAGAAGTAGCTAACACTGTTCCATGCTCAGTTCTTCCACTCGTATATTGTTAAGTAGATAGAAAGTTATACAAATATTTAGTCAGCGACGCAGGGATTCTTTAAAGTCTAAAATAAAAAGCAACATTAAAAGTTTTGATAAACCCACGACGGATATAAAAGATGTAATCGAAAAAGGATTAAATAAAATTTTTAAAAACCTCCAAATAAGGGAAAGTAAGTCAAGAAAGAAAAAAATAAAATCGTTTTAAAAGGGGTTGATTTTCGCGAGGTCTGTCATAATGAACAAGGAATTATCACTTTACTCAGTTTTTCCTACCTTTGTGTACCTATTTGTAGCGATAAACACAGCAATAATGTCAAATATCTCCATCCTACCTATTAGTTAATATAATTACAAGCCCAAGTAAATACGACGGGGCTGCCATTGCCATGTTCCTAATTTCAATAGAGAAAACCTGAGAGATGTACAGACTTTTTTTATAGGAGAGGAGGCAAACGAGCATACGGCTCACCTGATGGTAAGTGGCAACATCAAGAAAATTGCAGGTGCGTTGCCAGCCTTTTAAAAAGGAGTAAGCTCTTTTATTGAAGGTCCCTAAGTCGTATCGGTCCGGAAAAATCGCCGGTGGTAAATTATTCCACAGAGAGGTCGTACGTGGAAGAAAACTCCTAGTGAAACGTACAGTGGTGGACCGCCAAGCATCCAGATGATGTATATCGGGAGTTTTGCCGCGATGTGCGTTCGTGAAATTTGGTGGCTGGGATTAATCCGAACAATTCCTCAGAACACTCCCCGTGGTATATGCGAAAGATAATGCGAAGGGATGCAACATCTCTTCGCAGCGTTAGCGTCTTGGGCGTTAAAATTGCCAAGGTGATCCCGATCTTTGCGGATGGGGACTGTTGTAGCAAAGAATCTGTAGCCATATGGACGTGGTCGATGAGTTGGTCTGTTTCGGCATTACCGCTATGGGACCTATAGAGGTACCCGTAGACGCGCGGATGGTTTTAGCGAGGGATTCTCCAGGGGTGTTGGTTGATGAGGAGGGAAGGGAATTGGGCTCCGGCCACCTACACTCACCAGACGAAACGCAAAAGTAGAGCTTCCACTTCCCGCCGGTATTCTGTGCGGTCATGGAACCAACCCGCGTGGCTCTACCATCGTTAAATTAGACTACACAGAAACTTATAAAAATGCAAAATTTTGGTTTATTTCAGGGCAGGGAATGGCTGGCCCGACGGATTTACTTGGGTTTGTAATTATATTATCTAATAGGTAGGTGAATACGTGTAGTACATACCTATATTTGATGTCATTGCTGTGTTTATCGTTACGACAAACATAGGTACACAAAAGTAGAAGGAACTTAGTAAAGTGATAATTAGTTGTTCATTATGACAGAACTCGCGAGAAATCAACTCCTTTTATAACGCTTTTATTTTTTTCTTTCGTGACTTACTTCCTCTTAGTCGTGGGTTTAACAAAATTTTCAATTTTGCTTTTTATTAGACCTACTTTGAAGACGGCTTTTGCATGTAATTAAAAGTAATTTTGCATGCCTTAAGCGCGAAGCGCGCAGGTATGTTCTACTAGGGCCTAAAAATTAAGATTCCAACGTTTTGTCGCATGAAATCGTATCTAGCAATCATATTATACATATAAATAATATAAAAAGCACATTGTCAGAAAGATAAATGATTATTGAACTTATTAATATTTATTACTTCTCAAACAATTTTAAAAAACGTATACAAATTAATAACAAATTTTTGTGACCTCAAAAAATTAGTGCCTGTCCTTTTGATTTCTTGCTTCAGAAAATTAATGCTTCTTCTTTTGAAGTCTTTAATTCGTCCTTTGAACGGGCCATGCAGTCAGAGAGACCAGCACTCTTGTCACCACGGGCGACGATCAGGATACAGTTCTATTAGAAACCTAACAACACTTGGACGCCATCAGACGATAGGCTTAACCGCAAATTCTCTCAGAGACTAATATTTGCGTCATTTACTCAGTTTAGCCGCCTCTGATGCCATCCCGGCCCTGTACGAGGTATCCCTAAAAGAAGAGACCCCAAAGTATAACGCATGTAGCATCCCACTCTAGGGCATTAGGCCTCCCTCATGTGATCAACTACCGTCGGATTTCTTACCATCTCCTTTAAATAATCGACAAGACTGTTAAACCAAGGCAACATTTATATTATTATGTATAAGCGCAATTTTTTATCGGATCATTTTTATATGCAAAGTATACAAAATAGTGACTTTTGACTAAAACTAATTTTACGGATTATATCGTGTTCATAACAGCCTTTAAATGTCAAACATAGGCCTCCGCAAAGATTGCCTCATTGGCAAGATTTTGCCATACTTGCCACACTTGGTTGGCAATGTTTGGCTTATTTTTAATTCCCGATGTTTCGCGGGTTTTTCAGCAACCATGGTCACGAAGGTCTTGATATTTTTATTATTTCATTAATTTATTTAATTTCTAAAAAAAGTTTTTCCAACCACTAGCATTTTCTCCTGTATCGTAGAAGCAGTTTACATAAATACACTTAGATATAATCAATTATCTGTAGGCCATACAAATACATGTTCCGTGCGGAATTCGAACACACGGCCATCAGCGCTGCAACTCAATGCTAAGTCAGTGTTACTGAATAAAAAATTAAATGTAATAAAATACGTAAAATTAATATTATTTAATGTATAGTCTTCGTGAAACTTTAATAATTCAATATTGGCTAATGTCTATGTTATTTAATGGAATTAAATTAACGCTATTAACATTAATAGTACTGCTAATATCTTTTACATATATTCTGCAAAAATATATCTCATGCCATTTTTTATAAGGTGAATTTAAAACTACGCCGTTAAATAAAACTAATTTTACGGATTTTATCGCGTTTAATTAAATTTTTTTACTATCCAGTTTGATAGTCTCCCAGTGACCATGGGTGTTGTAACGCACCCGAAATGTCGAAAGTTAAAAATAAAATAAGGCAAATAAAACGAAATAAAACCCGTAAAATTTGTTTTAAGGAATGTCATATATTCATGTATATTTACTTCTTTTAATTTGATTATTTTTGAAGTATAATATATATAATACTAATATAATTATACTAATAAATATTGATAGTAAATAACTTCAGAGTTAAGTTTCCAGTTTGTTTTTTTAAAGCGATACTAATATACACTCAAATCACATCAACACGTAACAACCTGTTTTCGTCATTTTGCCAGATGTCGGATTTAAATATTTTACGATGTTAAAAATAATGTTTTCATTAAAAAAAAATTAAAATCCCTAAGAAAATCTGGTAAACATAGTCGAGTGACGGCGAAGTGATCGCGAGTGTATTTTCAGTGATACTGCAAGTACGATCTACGTAAACGCCGGTGAGTCTGCCAGCTAGTGCGTGGACGAACTACTGAGCGTGTCAAAGAACAACATAAATAGAGACTAAGAAGTAGGTTTAATATAATATGTAGAGAATAGCGTGTGCGTGTATGTTTTACGTGTAGAGAATAGTGGCCTAATAGAATATAGTTAAAGTAAAAACAAAAATATTTTATCCTAAATTGGAATTTTACCTGCGACTTCGTCCGCGTAGAACTTAAACAGAAAAACCTGCAGATCTATTATAGTGGTTAAACTTAATTTTTTTCTATTAACTCAAGAATTATGTGCGATACGGAGAAATATTTAAAATAAAATTTGAAGATCTATTAATTTTACGAAAAAAAAAAGGTTCACACTCATGGTTTTGTTGTATACTTATTTGTGGAGTAGCAAAAAATGTTAAAAATTGGTTTTGCTTCAAAATCTTGAGACATAATAGATAAAAACGGAGATTTTTGAGTATAATTGCACACCAAAAAAGTTTGTTTATATCTCTTATAAATTATGAGATAATCGTCAAAAACTACTTATTTTATCAGTTTTTCGGTTTCAGAAAAATCGGCACGTTTTTCAGATAAAATATAGGCTAGATCATTGTGAATTGCAATCGGTTCAGCCATTCGAAGATTAGCGCAGACAGACAGACAGATACAAGGTTATCTGTCTGTCTGTCTGCTCTCACGCCTAATTTAATTCGATTGGTCGCCAGTAATTTCGACGTTACATACAGATATTTTAAATTTATATATATTGGCCTTTATGAAACAATTGCCTGCCATCATCATCTCTGTTATTGTATTACCATTTCACCTTGGTAATCTTTTTTAATTACATACATATATTGATAAAAGTAAATGTCGTCAAAATGAAGTCATATTTTGTTTCAAAAAAAATCCTTACAATGCTACGATAAAACTGGAATGAAAAATTAAATTGGAAAACTTTGCTATCTATTCTTTGACATAGCATAGAAAGCTTTTGCGCATGTGTGCGTGACGTCGTAGCCCGCGTATTCTAACCTAAATATGAATTTCGAGCTTTGCTTCACACGGACGCGCGCGCCCGGCCACTGCTTCTCGTTTTAAAAATAAAACATTTCTTTCGGTAACATTCCGTTGAACGTTCGCAAACAACGGTCAACAATAGATTTCGTTATGTGAAAAGTGCTTTATTAATTGTATTTTAAAATAATAATGTATGAATATAATGTTAAAAGCCGAGACGATGCTAGAGGGAATGGAAAGCTTAGTGTATTTCGGTGACAACTAACGACCCTGGGTTGTATCTTTGGACAATCATTTTGGCGGTATATGACACATGCCTATGGTCTATTTTTTGACATTATGTGTTGTTGAGTTTAGCTTATGTAGTGTTGTGACGTGGGAAGTGAATGGTTTTTGTTGGATTTCGTATATATGCACGAAGGATATACTTTATAGGTGAGTGAAGTAGTGGATAAACTTTTTTATGTTGATTATATCACTCAAAAGTGTGCGGGAGTGAAACTAATAATTCACAGAACTAAGGCACCACTCTAGTCTGTGATGTTTTAGGATTGCCATTACATCCCTTTATTAATTAAAATAAAAAAAGAAACCAGTGGATTATAAGCGGAGATTATTTTTATTGGTAACGAGGCATTTCAACTTCGTCTTCAGCAGCCTTAGTCAAGTTGACTTTCTATAATCTTTAACGCTAATAGAAGACACTTTAATATGAATGAAAATGACATATGGCAGTCACGTGACTTAACGTTGATTTCATTATTTTTTAGATATTATTTAAAAAGGACCCTATTAATTTCGCTGTACGTGTTAACTTAAAATATTTAATTTCATATACTCATATGAAATTTATTAATTCATTAAGAATAAAAATAAAAAAGTACTGAACATTGGCATGCCACATAGATTGCCTCATAAAGCCTATAAAACCATGTACATATTTCAGTTTAAAAAAAAATAACCATTTGTTTCGAGCGAGATTTGAAGCAGCCGCGGTCCTGCAACGTAACTCTTAGCCACTGCTCTACTCAGAGCCTTACGTATGATTATTTTATGTTTTCAGTTGTACTTTTATGTAAATTTCAAATAGTTCTTTTTATAAAGTTGAATGGATGTCAATCAATATTTTGTATAAAACGATACGAATTCTGTAAATAAAAATAAAAATAATTTTCATTAATCGTATCGTGTTATATTATTATTAATTTATTTAATTTTTTTTGTAATAGAACTGCTTTATGAGACAGTCTTTTCATTAAACACTTGCTTGGAACATATATACTCTTGTATCCGTAATTAAACTGCTGTGTTTCGTATGGTGAGTGTAGAGAACCGGAGACACTTTTTTACTGGAAAAGAGGCATTCTATCTTAGTCCTCACGGGTGACAACGCATTTATATTTTGATTCGCAAACGAGGATAGATGTAGATGTCTATGGGCCACAGCAACCACTTACCATAAGGTGGACTGTGTGGTCGTTTGTCACCCTATCCTATAAAAAAAAAACGATAACTGTAAATAAAAAATAAAAATTATTTTCATTTATCGTATCGTCTTGTATTATTATTAGCTTCTTTACTTTTTTGTAATCGAACTGCTTTATGAGACAGTCTTTCCATTAAACACTTGCTTGGAGCATATTTACTCATATATCTTCATAATTAATTAATTACACCCTATGAGAAGTCCATCGCATATGCCTCCCTTGTAGATTGCCACATAGAGGATATTGCTTGCAATAGTTGCCACGCATGACAGGCAGGAGTTGACAACCGTAATTCTAATTAATAGAATCAGGCGTTACTTTGCGGAAATCCATTATATAAAAGCTTTTAGAAAAATTTACTTCGCAAATATCCGCGTTATAAAATAAAATGATGTGTCTTACCTAGTATGATTGCGGTGCTGGGATTAGTGGTGACGCGGATAGTGCACGCAATTGAGGGAGGGCGGGAGGTGCTCTTCATACTAGGTAAGATACAACATTTTATTTTATAACGCGGATATTTGCGAAGTAAATTTTTCTAAAAGCTTTTATAGCCGTAATTCTTATTATGAGCTGTTATCAGATAGATGCTGCGGTCCATCTCCTGTTTAATTTCTCTCAGTCTTCGCTTACGACATACGGCAGTGGACTCTTTTACGCCATTAATACATTTAATTCATTTAATGATTTCAGCATAGATTAATAACCATTAAATTTTACGAGACCTTTTGGTTATTTTTTTATACATATAATGGCAACCAATCCACACATTTACCTGATGGTAAGTGGATGCTACGACTCAAGATTTTTTTTTTAGAGAATAAGGGTGACAAACGAGCACACACCTGATGGTTAGTGGTTGCTGTGGCCCATAAACATCGACATCTATCCTCGTTTTCGAATCAAAATATAGATGCGTTGTCACCCGTGAGGACTAAGATGGAATGCCTCTTTTCCAGTGAAAAAGGGTCTCCGGTTCTCTACACTCACCATACGAAACACAGCAGTGTTAAGCTGCTATTTTACGCTGGTATTCTGTGAGAGCGTGGTCCTTCCCCGGTCGAGCCGACCCATTCGTGCTACAACTATACTATTAATATAGCTCACCACGTAAATAAGTCCTTAATTAAGAGACACGTAGGACAGGCGTCCTCACATTTCTGAGAATATTTTAGGATAAGAAAAAAGCTGTCAGCGCTGTCATACATGCAGCTTCACCATCGAGCACGTGGTAAATTTGCACATGAAATTACAATCAACTATTTCATCGGTGCCGGCGGGGATTGAACCCGGGTTGGTCCCATCTGTGAACTCTTAATCCCTGAGCTACCACGACTGATCCATATCATAATACAAATATATTGGAATGGGAGTTAATGTCTTGGCGTCGTTCAGTTAAGAGAGCTATGATAAATATTTATTCAGAAGGGGGAGGGGGTCACGCTCACTCCCACCCGTAAATACATAGAACAGAGGAATATAATTAACACTGTAAGCAATAGCATCGCTTTTGGTGTTTTATTAATGTGTGTTCGACGTAGTAATAACTAAGTAAATAAAATAGTAAAGACTTTGAAATTTTCTATCTGCAAGTATTCTTTAACGATTTCCTGTATTTAAGCACATTCTATAAATAGAAGTAATATTACAAATAGTTCTATTCACAGTATATTTATTAAACCTTTATTGTACACCTTATAACAAGGGATATAAGGGACATAAAGGACGGACTTAATGCCTTATGGCATTCTCTACCAGTCAACCCTGGATGATTTGAGAAACTGAGGCAGGTGTAAACAGTCACTTCATATATTTAATAAATAAGTATTTCTATATATATATTTTATAGGATAGGGTGACGAACGAGCACACAGTCCACCTGATGGTAAGTGGTTGCTGTGGCCCATAGACATCTACATTTATCCTCAATAAAGAATCAAAATGCAGATGCGTCGCCATCCGTGAGGACTAAGATGGAATGCCTCTTTTCCAGTAAAATGGGTCTCCGGTTCTCTACACTCACCATAAGAAACACAGCAGTCTCAAGCTGTCATTTTATGCTGGTATTCTGTGAGAGCGTGGCCCTTCCCCGGTCGAGCCGACCCATTCGTGCTACAACTATACTACTAATATAGCTGCAGCATGGCTCTACCACGTACAAACACAATATATCTTAAAATGTAAGTGATCTCACGATACGCTCCGGCTTTGCACGGGTGATTTCTGGATCACGACAACTCACGACAAGTCTCTGAATTTTTCTATTTTGGTAATGTAAAAGAATCTTGGCTGTAAAAAAAGAAACATATTGAAAAAAAAAACATATTTATTTACATGATATTCAAATAAACAATACTTAATACCATAATAAAAAAAAACCACTAAAATTAAAAACTGAATAAACAGTACTGCAGCGGTATTGTACCAAGAACGCCGGCTAATTCTCCTCTGAATGGAATATTTAAACATTGGTCGAGAAAAAAAAGGCACTGGAAACGAGGCATTCCATCTTAGTCCTCAGGGGTGACAACGCATCTGCATTTTGACTTTTGATTGAGATGTAAGGTAGATGTCTATGGGCCACATCATTCACTTATCATCAGGTCCACCTGAGTACAGTACAGTCCACTGTATGCTCGTTTGTCACCTTTACTCTATAAAAAAGTGCTTTATTGGAATCAGTATTCAAACTTATGGAAATAAATTTACTTCAGTAAACTCGGCCATAAAAAAATATTTATTGCAAATTGTGTGTGATATTATTACATCTAATTGCATGTAGATGACATGCGCATCAGTAAAGCAGGGTCAATACTCTCACTCTCTGGCCAATGCAGAGGTAATAAAACCACCATGCAAATTGTAAGTAAAATTTTATTTATATTAAATTTTTTATGGTCGAGTTTTCTGAATTAAAGTTATTTCCATACGTTTGAATACTGATTCTTATAACGTGCTGTGGCGGGTGGAAGGAAAAGGGGAGATCTCCCGCCGATGCCGGTGCGTCCTTAATGCCGGTGGGGAATGCATCCTGTGTGCATAAGGGCAAGTGACGCCGGTGCCAACGATATACCGGTGTGTAATGCATGCCGTACTACGCACTTGCCATCACTTGCAAGTGCGTAGTACGGCAAGAACGATGAGCCAGAGTAAGTGCCAGGGATTGCCTTGTAGTCTGCGGTGAGTTGAGAAGAAGCCAAGTAATCTGCGAGAGTGCCGTGAAGCAGAGGCGAGCAGTAAGGCTCAGAGCCGTGCCTACAGTGTTCGGCACGGCTCTGAGCCTTGAACACAGAGTAGCTTGAAGGAACAGAAAGCATTATTATTCCAGTGCTGCGATGAACCTTTGTAAAGCTAGATGGCTTGCAGAATGTGAAGACTGCAGACAATATCTGCTCGGGAGCGAATGAATAGGGTATTTGAGGACGATGACGAAGGTTTTGAAGTTGTAGTTTCCGAAGGTTGTTGGTTGCGTGTTCATATCACGTCGGCTGGTCACCAATGTAGCGGGTGGAAGGAAAAGGGGAGATCTCCTGCTGGGCAAGGTGTTCTACCCGGGGAGCGGCCAACGCTTCGGAGCTATTTTATATATACTGTTTTAACTTCCGAACTTAGTTAGCGCGATTTAGGCTTCGACGTGTTTCGCTTGTGGCGCGACGACAGCGCCGCCACAGTACTTAACGAGAACGGGGTTTTTATTACATGTTGTGTATACATTTAAAGATAAACAAAACATAAACTTACCTGACTTTAAGCACCCGTTACCGTTACAGCCAATTAAAAGCAACTGTTGAACAAGGGCCTAACCCATACATTATGTCATACGAGGGGGGATATTTGGAATAGTTGGCACGCTTGGCATGCGGGTTGGCAGCCGCAATTTTTTATTTTCAGTCGTTATTAAGTAGACGCTGCATCCCATCTCCTAATTAAATCCCTCTGTCGCCTCTT